GGGGAGGGGAGTGCCGTGGGAGGGCCAAGGGAGGGGCCCGTCTCCACACCTCCTGCCTCCCCCTCACACACTGCTGCAGTCACCAGCTTGTCCCCATCACCCACTCCCTCTCTCTGTCCTCATTCCTCCCTGTCCAGAACCTTTCACAGGCATTAGGCCATTGCACTCTCAAAACAACCCTACAAAGAAGACGAGGTAAGTATTTTTATCCCCATTGTACGGAAGGAAAAGAGGCCCAGAGAAAGGGCTAAATGCCCCAGGATCAGGGAGCTGAGTGGTATGGTAAACACAAGCAAGATTTTAAAAGAATTCTTGCCTCAGTTCTCTGCCCTCTGTGCCTCTTGAATGAATTGCTTTTTTTTTTTTTTCACTTGAGTGTCCATATACTGAGTATGTGTTTAAGTGGTTTTCCCTGGAAAGGTGGTCTAGTTCTCTAGAAAGATTCATTTCAGCTGTGGAGTACTTGCATTATGGAGACTAGCAGGTTTCTGCTGGGAGAGCCTAGAACATCACACAAGGACCTCGGCTGTTGCTAGGCCCAAATGCACGATTTCACGGAGGTGAGCATTGAGGCTCAGAGAAGTTGAGCCACTTGCCCCAGGTCACAGAGGCTGGTTTTTAGCAAAACCAGTTGTACAGATTCCCAGTCTGGAGCCCCTGGCCTTCCACTGCCCCTGCCGCTGCCCTGTAGCGCCCTTGGTTCTGTCACCAGGGGAGGTGGGGGAGATGGCTGGAGGGCAGGAAGCTGTTGGGTTGTCTGGGTCACAGCTGCTCACCTGGCCGCGCCTGTCCCTTGCTCCCTCATCCTGCCCCTCTGTCTCTGCTTTCCCAGCCCACAGCCGGCAGCCTCGTCTGCCTCCTGGCTGGAGGGCCGGGGTTTGTGAGCCAGGGTCTCTCCTCCTCTGTTCATTGTAAGGAGGAGGGGTGGGGGGGGGTGTCCTTCCCACCCTGGGTGAGGCCTTGCTCGGGTGGGCTGGAGACAAGGCACTCCAAAGTGGGGAGAGATTCGGGGTGGGAGCAGCGGAACTGGATTAATTCTGCAGATCCGGGGGGCTGGGAAATAAATCATGTTTTTAAAAAGACAGGCTCGTTTCTGGTCCACTTCCCATTTTCCTTTGGAGAGTGAAGGGAAGGCCTGCTTATGGGGGGTGCAGGGGGTGGGCATGAGCTTGGGTTGTTCCACACTTAGCAGTGGGGCTCTGTTTCCAGAGGCCGAGGGATTTTTTCCTGTCCTGCTCCACACCTCTCCCCCGCCCCAGGCCTTCCCAAATTCCCAAACCCCAAGGGCCTGGAAGGGCATCAGGCCGTTCAAGATAATTCTTGAAAAAATCCTCCAAGCAGCATAGACCTTGTGAGCCTTTAGTCTAGGTGGGCCAAGGGTCCCCACCTCTCTCTCCTAGGATTTGGGGGTATCCACCCATTGAGGAAAACAGCAGCTCCCCCTCTCTGACAGCCCTCATCTTCTAGCATGGAAGATGATGGCAAGCCACTGCTCATGGGCCAAGCCCAGCCCACCATGTAGTTTTGTAAGTAAAGTTTTATTGGTACACAGCTTCCTCACTCCTCTACAGATTATGAGGGGCTGCTTTTGTACCATAACAGCAAAGGTAAGTAGTCTTGACAGAGACCTCATGGCCCCCAAAGCCTAAAATAGTGACTCTGGCCCTTTACAGGAAAAGTTTGTTAACCCCTGTTCCAGCAGAACAAGTAAGTCTTCCTCGGTTCTCCAGGCCTAAGCCAAATAATTTCCCTTGGCTCACTGAAAGAGGTTGGCATTTTCCAAAAGTTTTCCTTATGAAGAACCCAAAAGAAACCAAAATGGACAGTGTGCAAAGTAACGAAGCCAGCAGAGATGGGTAGAGATGTGGATCCTCTTAGCTCAGTCTGCATAGGGCCGAGTGGGGCCAGATGGTAGAGCTGGTGTGGGCCTGCCCAGGGTGCTTAGGATGGCCTTGCTGGCTGACAGTCCACTTGGCCACCTTTGGGGTACAGTAGCAGGGAGTTATCACCCCAACTTCAAGCCTCAGACGGCCTGGGCGTGTCCACTTTGTCTCAGCCCTACCAGGACATGAAAACTGGGCCAGCATAGCTCCTGCTGCCCAGGGGGCTTCGGGCTGCAAGTCCTGGTGAGAGGCTTCGGCCATAGGATGTTTGTTTCTGGGTGCAGTCTCCAGGGTCTCTCTACCCACAGTCCCAGCTGACCTGGTGTTTGGGGGTTGTCTACAGGAAGGCATCTGCGTTTTGTTGGCACATCTGGTATCAAACACTGTCTGGTTCTCAACCTTGCAGCCCCAGGAGGAGGATTTTCCTGGTAGCCCCAGGGTTGGTTTGAACCAAGCTCATGGGAGATGTTGCCGATGGTGGCTAACTGTCATTGAGCACTGACTGTATACCAGGCACTATGCAGATTACTGCATATTACCTCATTAATCCTCGTAGCTACCTAGAAAGGAAGTATATCGTCTCATTTCCATTTTTACAAGTGAGGGAACAGGTTCAGGGAGGCTAAGGAAGTCCCTCATAGGGGAGAATCCACACAGTCAGACTCTGGAGGCCTTACTAAACCCCTCTACCAGACCCCCTCTCTGCTGGCTACAGTGAGAGCTGGAAGGGCTGGGCTTCCCAGTTCTGCGTGGGGAGCCAGCCTGCAACTGGTAGGTGACTTGCTGAGCAAGGGAGAATCAGGTGCTTTAAATGATGGGTAGCATCCACTGATCGCCTGAAGTCTGTGGCCCCACACGAGATGGGCATGGTACTAGCTGTGTGACCTTAGGTGAGTTACTTAACCTCTCTGGTTCATTTTCCTCACCTACGAAGTGGAAGGAGTACCTTATCATTTCAGGTTTATTCTGAAAAGCAAATGAATTACCGCATGTATGTGTTCAGCACGATGCTTGGTGTACGGTAAATGCTACGTAAACTTTTGCTGCCATTACAGTTATCTTTACTATCTGCCATCGGGTCAGGCAGCTTTCCTGGCCAGCACTGGGTGCCTCTCAGACTTGCATCTCAACCTTTCCTTCTTATTGTCCCCACTGCAGCCAACACTGTGCTCCTTTGGAGGCAATGAGAAATTCAGCAGAGAAAGCACCCGCCGGGGCTGATTCCAGACCTGATTCCGTTTCTGACCCTGCTACTCTGTGCTTGTGGGAACTTGGGCTGGTTTCCCCTCCTGTGAAATGGGGTGAAAAACGCAGATCCACCTCAAGGGATTGTCATAGGCAGTAAATGAGTCTCTGTATACTGTGGGTATACTGTCAGTGCTTATTACATGTTGATCCTCTGATATTCTAGAATTGTTCACCCCGCTGATTAAGGTGAGAGCTTTCTGCCTCATCACATTACTATTATCACATCTCACCATCGTATGTTCTTTTAGGTTCTTTGACTTCGCTCCTCCCTCTTGGCAGGAAGACAACTTCTAACCTCATTTCACAGATGAGGAAACTGAGGCCCAGATCAGACATGACTGTCTGAGTCTGGGACAGAGCCCTCATCTCTGATGGTCACTAAAGGTCCCCGTCCCTCTGGGTTGGAGTTGGGGTGTTTTAGAGAGTCCAAAGTGAGGCTTCTTTCCAATCTACCCCAACCTGTCTTCCTGATTGGGTAAGGGCTGGGGCTAGGGCTGGACGAGACATCAGAGCCCAGTGGTGAGGTGCCCCACGACTGGAGACTGGCCTTGGGCTCTCCAACCCTGATGTTTGAGGTTCCAGGTCCATGCTGCTGAGCCTGCTGGCCTGGTGAGGATCCTTAGAGCCACCAGGCCCTGTGGGGCCGGCCACCCACCCACATGGCCAGAGAGAAAGGTCCAGGCTGCTTCCTCCAGGCAGTGATAACCCATGGGCCCTGTTCCAGGCAGGGATTGTGTAGGCTTCTCTGTGCTCCAGAGGATTCCTGTGTTTCGGCAGACACCTCATTATCCCCATCCCAGCCGGCTGTGTCCCAGCGCCTCTGTAATCACTCGGGCCCACGCCCAGCAGCCAGCCCAGGGCCAGGAAATCACTCCCCTCCCCTCCCCCGCCTTCCGCCGCCAGCCCAAAGCGGCGCCTGCAGCCACTTGCCTGGTGGACCTCCTGCCTGCCTAACGGTTCTCTCTCCTCCTCTGACTCTCCTCTCTCTCCTGCTGCTGCTTGCTCTCGGGGGACTCGGAAGTGTGGCTCTCCAGCTGGGCTGAGTCTCCCAAGAAGGACGTGACAGGTACTGCCCCGAGTGCATGTGTGAGCATGTGTGTCCTGGGCATGCACGTTGTGGGAGCTTCTTGCCTGGGGTGGGTCGCAGTCCTTCATGGGCATGCCAGCCCGGCCTCTGGGTCCCCCCTTGCCCTTCCCTTAGCTGTGCTCACTGCCCTCCTTCCAATCCTCTCTAGGCCTCAGAGCCAACCTCGGAGCCTGCAATGGGTGATGAGCACATAGCCCAGTGTGTAAACAAATACACTCTGGACCCAGAGCGTGCGGGTTTGTCCCCGGCTCTGCCGTGTCCTGGCTGTGTGAACTTAACCTCCCTGAGCAGTGCGCTGCCACCTCCCAGGGAGCCCGGCATGCAGAAAGCGATCAGGTGATGACGAGGCGGCTGTCATCTTGTACGATCGCTCAGCTGGCCATCCCTGTGAGTCTCACTTCAGGCAGTTAACTTGAGGCAGAGAGCCGAAGTCCCAGACCCCCTCCCCCCACCTCCCCAGCCTGGTTTCCAGTGGTCCTCACCGGGGAGCTGCAGCAGGGCAGGGAATCCTGGTACTGATGTCGTAGCCTCCGTGCCCCAGAGCTTGGAGCCGCCTCTGCCTCAGCGGCCTTGCCAGGCTTTGGGCTGCCTGGCCCAGGGTGGGCCTCAGAGACTCGGGCCTGTGCCTTGTGTCGAGGCAGAGCTGGGCCAGGGGTCGGGCTTTCCTTTAGCCTCTGGTCTTACTGAGGCTGTCTAGGGCTCTCAGCTGCTATAGGGAGACAGTAGCACACAGAGGGGTGGGTTTCCAGAAGGGGCTTCTAGGAGCCCCTCCATTTCTGAGAGTGAAAACACACACACACACACCTATTCTGCCCAAACCTGAGAGCAGAGATTCAGGCTGGGGAGTTGGGGGACAAGGCATAAGGGTCAGAGGGCCTGTGCCAGCCCCTCCCCACCACAGCTGTGGTCAGGGAACAGGAGGTGGACGTCCTGGGAGGGGGCCAGAGGAGAAAGGCAGCAGGCGGGAGGACCCCCTTGCCTGTCCCAAGCTCCTTCCAGTCATCCTTTTGGTGTTGTCTGTGACTAGGGCCTGGGCCTGACTAATCACTGGGCTCCTATCCCTTTTTCCCCTCTCCACGAGCCAGTGAGCCAGAGCCCACTTGGCCTACAACAATACATTTTATTCACGAAACGTATAGCCTGGCCGCCCGGGGGCCTATAGAGAAGCCGGCAGGCCAAGTCCAGCCCAGGAGGAACCAGTTGTGAGGGGCTTGGAGGGACCTTTGGTGGGATGCCAAGGTTTGGGGGGTCAATGAGAACGTGGGGAGCCTGGGGCGGGGGCCACCGCAGGGCTTGGCTTCTCAGGATGAGCCCAGCTGTTTGGAGTGAGAGGCTGAGGGGAAGCAGTGTGGGCCGGGGAAAACCAGCCAGAGGAGGAGTTCAGGGCTGGAGTCTTGGGCAAGCCTCCAGCTCTCTCTGGGCCTTGGTTTCCCCACCTGGAATGTCAGAGAGGGCATGAGGCAGGAAACTCAGAGGTAAGGGGCTGATGTGGGGGATCCTCGTAGATAAGAGTCCTGGGGCTGCTTAGCCTGGCATCCTCCCCAGAGTGGGCCCAGGGGGCTCTGATCTGGCTCTCCAGCTGTCAAGGATCTACTGCCTGCCAGGAGGTGTGGTTTGAGAGAGGCATGTTTCAGGGACACAGCCACAGCCACCCTTTTCCTGGCGCCTGTGGCCCTTGCCTTGAGCTGCCTGCTTGTTTTGAGGCTGCAGGGGAACCTGAACCCCTCCTGCTCCTCCCCACATCTCCCATTTCCTGTTTGCTTTATAAACAGTGTCTACAGTTTACATAGGGCATTAACCCTATCACCTAGTTCCATGCACAGAACAACCCATTGAGGGTAGGTACTGGTACTGTACCTATTTACAAATGAGGAAACTGAAGCTCAGAGAGATTAAGTGTCCTACCCAGGGTCACAGAGCTAGTAAGGGCAAAGCAGGACTGGACCTCAGACCCTCAGACTTGAATCTTCTGCTTTTGCATCTTGAATCACAGGCAGCTGAGGCCAGTGCCCTGTCCTATGGCACCAGGCCTGGGGCAAGTACTCTCATCAGGGAGACTCTTTTCTAAAGCACACGGCTGACTAGGGCTGAGTGCCCCACAAACAAATCCAGCAGAGGCCAAGAGTGGTGAGCACCATGGCTAGAGTAAAATCAGGCAGCTCCTGGAGGGTCAGAGATGGTTGGGTAGAACTGGGGTTGGTGGAAGAAGCGAAGGCATTCCAGGCAGGGGGAGCAGCTAAGGCAAAGGCTTGGAGGTAAGAACCCACATATAACAGTGTGGTGGGCACATGGTGCCCTCAATACATATGTTGGCTCATGAATGTGGCCTGGAACAGGGGGGTTATATGTCAGGGAACTTGGAGAACTCAGATTGTCAGAAAGACTGAACTTGAATTTGGCCTTTATTCTGTAGGCAACAGGGACCCATTGAAGGTATTGGAGCAGGGGACTGACTTGGCAAAAACTTCATTTCGAAGTTTAAGTTGGCAGGCAGAATCAGGCAGGAGCCAGGGGTCCATCCAGGTGGTAGTTGGAGGAATGCAGGTGTGGGGAAGGGCTCCAAGGACCTGCCAGAGCCCTAGCAGATCCAGCCAGGGGCTCTGAGTAATAAGGGGCCCATCCCTGGACAAGACTGTTACAAAGTCCCCTTCCAACCTGGGAGGGGCTCTCCTCTCTAGAAGGGGTACACCCCTTCTCCGTGCCTCTGTCAAACCCTTCCCGTCTGAAGACTAGAGGCTTCATCCACTGCCCCTGCCCCTCCTCCTTTGGGCTGACTCCTCCAGCCCCCAATTTTCCAGGCCTTGGCTGGGAGGGGATCCAGAGCAGCCTCTGTGGGATGACATCACCTACCGGCCCGCCTGCCGAGTGGTTTCTCATCTGGATACCTGCTCGCCTCGCACGCCTGCCCGCCTGCCCGGGCAGCCCTGGGCAGACAACATCCTGAGAGGCAGATGCCAGAGAGAGGGAGCTGGGAGCCTGCATGTGCTGGGGGGGGGGGCGGGGAGCGCAGCCAGGAGGGCAGAGTGTCTGTGTGTCCGTCTGTCCATCCCACAGCCTTTGGAGCAGCCTCCAAGAGGTGCCACCGCCTGTCTTCTGTGCTCTGGAATCCCTGGAGAATGTTCTCTTTTCTACCTGTGTTCCGAAATGTCAGTCTTCAGAAAGCTTAGGCCAATTTTCCAAGGGGCTCAGGGGCCAGGGCAGTGGGGGCGGGATTTTTCCCCTCTTTGAAATTTTGCCTCAGATTCCCTTGGCTTGGATTAAAGTAAGCGAGGTCTCTCCACTCCCCAGCACCCCAGCTTGTCCTCTCTAGCAGCTTTTGGCCACAAACTCATCGCTCCTTGCTCTTCTGTGCCTCTGTTTCCCTATCTCGCCTTTCCCCCTTCCACAGTTGTCCAGTTTTCCCAAATGTCAGAGGTGAGGCCCTGCCTGGTTTAGCTCTAGTGACTTCTGAAACAAACCACTGAATCACTCCATTCATCTCTCTGCCTATTTGTTCATTTCATTCATTCATCTTGCAAACACTTACTGAATGCCTACTACCTAATAGGCCCTGTGGTCTGCTCAACAGATGTAGCAACGGTCAACAAGGAACCCACACTCCAGTTTTTATTAAATACCAACTGTATGCTGGGTTAAAGATAGGGTGAGGCAGGGTCCCTCTGGGAACCAGGGATCAATGGCTCTCTGCAGGCGGCATATAGTAGAGAAGTTCAGAACACGAGCGACCCCCTATTGATGGGTGTGGGTTCAAGTCCCAGCTGTGTGACCTTAGGAAAATTGCTTACCCTCATGAGCCTCAGTCTGCCTATGTATAAAATGGGTCTATAACAGAACCTACCACAAAGGCTTGTTGTGAGGATCCAGCGAGACAATAAAATGACTCAGTCAGGTGCTTGGCATTGTGTTGACTGTGAGTGAGCTCCTGAGGGTCTGCTGTTAATTGTCAGTATAATCTGGGCTCTTGGGATTTGGAAGCTCTCTGACCCGCTGGGAGCTCCTCTTTACTGTTTGTAGCCTGAGTTTTCCTTTCCCACAAACTGAAAGGAAGCCCCTGTATCTCAAAGGGCAGGGGCTGGGCCTTTTTGTGTTAGGTTCACTGAAGAGGTGCTCTTGGCCACTGAGGCACTGCCGTCCCCCCATGGGTACAGCGGGAGGTAGTCTCTGTCAGCACCATGCCCGGTGCTGCCTCTGTCCGGCTGGCAGGGGCAGGCGCAAAAGCTGGCCCCATCTGAGTGCAGAGTGGGCTGGCCCTGCTGCCCAGCTGTTGGTCGCATCTCTGCCTGAAATCCGATCCAGGCTTTGGTGGGGCTGCCTGGGGCTGTGCGTGTGCGGATCCATGTGGCAGGGCTCGGCAGGGACAGGGTCCCTTCTGGGGCTCCAGAGGGTTGAGCTGGGGCTGCAGGGCCCACCCCTCATGGGAGAAAACCATCAGGGGCAGTGGGTTTCTTTCCTTCTGTTGCTCCCTGCCCTGGGTTGGATGGGGCCTTCCTCATAGAAAGACCCAGAGGTCTAAGCGGTGCCTCCCTCCCCTGGCTGCACCTGGGAACCACGGGGGAGGAGAGAGTGTCCAAAAAATACCGACCAATTAAATCGGACCTCTGGGGGTGGGACCCAGGCTTCGGTATTCTTTCAAAGCCCCCCAGGCAATTCTGTGGAGCCAAGTTGAAGATCACTGTGCTGGAAGAATGGGCGTCCGGAAACATAAATCTGAGGGGCAGTTCTTTAATGGAAGGAGAGATGGGCTTGAACCTAAAACACTGAGTGAGTTTGGTTCTCTTCATAGCAGCTGTGTGAGCTGAGGCAAGCCTCTTGCCCTCTCTGGGCCTCTGAGTTGTCTTTTGTGAAATGGGAAGGTAGAAAGGTTGTGGTGAGGATAAAATGGGACAGGGTACGTGCCTGACACAGGCCATGTGCCGAGTTAGACTCAGGCGTGTAAGGAATGTGGCTGTAGGCTAAAGCACCGAGGGAGCTGTAGGGAACCTAGGGACCCTCTCAGCCATTTCTATAGCCATGCAGGTGGTGGGTCCCCTAGGCTTCCAGGAGATTGACAGATGTATAGGGTGGTAGACATAGTTAAAGTGTGGTAGGAATTCCCTTTGGGCTGCGGGTGGTCTGGGAAGGCTTCCTGTAGGAGGTGACCAATAGGTCTCTGGTTTGTGGTTCCTTTCAGCTCCTAGCAGGGCATGCCCTGTCGTAGGTGTTTTGTCCCCACCTCTGGGAGCCTACAGCCCATCTGCCCTCCTTCTGCAGAGCCCCACCTTTTGACCGCTCAACTGCCAGAGGGTGGCTGGAGGCTTCCCAGAGCCTAACCACAAAGCCCAGCACTAAAAGGCAGAGGGAGACTGAATCAGTCTCCATGTGGCCGGAGGGCAGCCGCCAAGCCCGAGTGAAGCCGGCCTAGGGCTGGTCTGTCTGCACCAGGCCCCTGGGCTCAGTGGCAGCGCCTTGGTGAGCCGAACTTGAGGAAAAGTTGGCGGGGGGCAGGCTGGGCTTGCCTGGCTGCTGGCGCTGGGACTTTCTTCTTGGGTTTCAAGTAAACAGTCTCGGCCCTCCTCCCCCTCCCCTGCCTCCACCCCTGGCTCCTCATTCGATGGGTCTCATGTGTTTCTATTTAAGGGTTGCGAGTAAACCCCAGTGATTGGCGGCCTCAAACCCTCTTGACTTCTCGCCTGGGCCCGAGCTGTGGAGACTTCTCTGCTGCTCGCTCCCTCTCCCTCCCGAGGGGAGGACCGCTGCCTCTCTTTTCTCTGGGTTCACAGAGGCTGGGGGGAGAGGCACGAGCCCTCCTCCTTGTCTTGCCTTTCTCTCTCCCTCTCTCCCTCTCTCCCTCTCCCTCTCCCTCCCTCCCCCTCCCCCTCCCTCCCCTCCGCTCAGCCTCAGCCCTCATGGGCGGCCCTCCCGTCGCGCCCCTGCCAGCCGAGGGGTCTGGGGAGACCACGTCTGCACCAGGCCTCTCCTCCCGCTCACTTGTGCCGGGCTGTGACTGACTCATCGCAGCGGCGGGCTCTTCCTCTCGGGTTCCCGGGCCTCCGCTCGGCCCGGCTGTCCCCCCTCCCCCCCTCCGGCCCGGCTCCCCATGTCCCCCGGTCCCCGCGGCGCAGCGGGCCGGTGTGGGGCCTTGCTATATGGCCTGTCCTTGGGGCCCGGCGAGCTGCGAGCCCCGGCTGCGGGCGGCCCATCGGAGCGGCAGCGGCGCTGGCGACCGAGCAGCCTCCCCCGATGGACAGGGGGCGCCCCGGCCGCGGGGCCATGGCCGGCCGCTGGCTCACCGCATGCTTTCTGCCCTCGCCAGGTGCCGACACCAACGCCGAGCCCATGATCCTGGAACAGTACGTGGTGGTGTCCAACTATAAGAAGCAGGAGAACTCGGAGCTGAGCCTCCAGGCCGGGGAGGTGGTGGATGTCATCGAGAAGAACGAGAGCGGTGAGTGCCCAGATGGCCGGCCTGGCTCCCGGGTTGGACAGACGGCCGGACGTCTGGCTGGTTTTGTTCCCTACCTCCTCCCCCACCTCTGCAGCTGTACTTTATTTCCATCTGGTGGGGGAGAGGGCTGAGGAGGCCGAAGTTTCCCCTGTTGGTTTGGGCTGCAGGCCAGCACTTTGCCTGGTGGTGGAAGAATGTCTCCCCAGCCCCAGGGAAATGAACCGGCTTGTGTGCATGCAAGGCCAGGGTGGCAGAAGCCGGTACAACAGCCCAGCCCCTGTTTGAGGTCCCCGTGCCCACTGAGGCCACAGGGAAGGTGGCTTCCGGCTCAGGGGGCACTTTAGGGCAGCTTCCCCTGTTGGCGCCGTCTTCCAAGCCAGGGTCCGGGCAGGGGCGAGATAAGCCGACTAGCTGGTGGGGAAGGCCGGCCATGACGTCACCCCACGGGTTGTCTCGGGAAAAGCTAGGCCTGTGGGATTTGGCTAGTGTCTGGGTGGTGAGCTGACTGCCCCCTGCAGAGCTGAAGGCCACCAGGACCTGGGAAGAGGGCCCAGACAGGGGGAGAAGGGGGCCAGGGAGGGCCCTACGGCAGCCGCCCTGTCATTGGGAGCTGAGGCTTTGTCTCGTCTGGGGCCCTGCCCATGGCTGTCCAAGGGCTGCTGTTTCCACGGTCCTCACCGGGACCACAGGTGCGGCAGGCATCTCTGCACGTGGAGGGAGGAGCACCTGAATCAGTCAGTGTGAGGTGCAGGGCCAAGACTTCCATCAGCAGTTTGCCTGTATCCTGCTGGGGCTTGAATTGGTTGCTGGGGTGTTTTGTTTTGGTTCCAGTTAGCTGCAAGGGAAGGTCCCTTGCACGGGATCCTCTTTGGGCAGTATTTGGACACTCCCAGAGGGGAGGGGCCTGGTTTTCTTTTCCTGTCCTGCTCAGTTCCCTTGCCTTCCAATATTTTGAGCCCTGAAAGGAGGACAGACCAAAGGATCACTGTACCCATTCTATAGATAGAGTAACCGAGGCACAGACAGACTGAGGGGAAATGAGTCCTCTGAGGGCAAAAGCAGAACAGGGACATTCCTGGGCCCCCGATTCCTATGCCTGTGGGCAGCAAGTAGCTGTAGAGATGCTGAGGAAATCCCAGCAGACCTCCTGGGGGCGGTGACCTCAGGCTCCTGCTGCAGGAGGCTCAGGAACTGTGCTCCCTGAGAACAGAGCTGTGATGCCAACATAGGTCTGACTCCTGGCCCTCCTGGGTCTGGGGTCCTGACCTTTCAGAGAGGTCAGGCTTTGTCTTTGTGCTTGGAGTCATTGGCAAGGTGGTTGGCAAAGGCCGTCCCCACCTGGCAGAGCCACACCCCTAGCCTAAGGCCTGAGCCCTTCACCCCAGGCACCCACACTGCTCTGCTACCTGCACACCTTTGCTTTCAGCTAGTACCACCCCTACCTACTCGTCCCCACCCCTCACCCCGCCTACCCTCTAGGAAGCTGGCATTGTCACAGGGCCTGGCTCTGGAAACCCTGAGCACCTCCAGACCCAAAGGAAGGGATCTTTGATGGTGTTGGAGGCACCGGCTGAGGCAGACGTTTTGGAGCGCGTTCCGAGGGGGAGAGATGTGCCCACTTCTCTGTATAAGGTCAGGGCTGCTCAGAAGTAGAGTTCTGGCTTAGAGACCCTCCTGCCACCTCCCCTGCCTTGTGTCACCAGCACAGCTGTATAACCCCATGGTTCTGGTTACCAGCCACTGGCCAGGATGGAAAAGACCCCACACAAAAGGAAGTCAGCATGCTTGGAGATTCTGATTCCAGGGACGTCCTGCCTCTACCTTCCCATCCCATACCCAGGATTCTAGGAATACTTGGAAGTCCTACCTAGCGGGGGGAGCCCTGACAGAGTGGGGGCCTGGAAAAAGCGTAGAGACACCTCCGCTCCTGAGGACTCCCTGATGGCTCTGTGACCCCCCAGTATGACACGCACAGCCTCTGAGGGAGCTACTGTCCCTGGAAGCAGGATCCTGCCCACCACCTGCTGGCTAGATGGCTGCAAGTCCCTTAATCCCTCTGGGCCTCACTTAACCCTTCTGTAAAATGGAGATAATTTGGTGGCTGCTTAGAAGCAGAAGCTGGAGTAGTGATCTTCCTGAGCCTTCTTCCCAGGTCTGAACTCCATGGCTGGGAGCCCTTTTAGGGCCCTAGATGTCAAGTGGAGAGAGCCTCCCCAAACACAGCTTTTCTCCTTCTCCAGGACTTTTGTATCTTTACTTTTGGTGGAGAGAGCTGCCTAGCAGCGCATATTTGCCCCGGGACCCTGGAGTGCTAGGTGTGCCATGCAGACCCACACTATCTGTTGCTGGCAGAAACCAGGGGGCCTGGCATGTACAGCCAGTTTAACCAGAGAAACTAAGTGGGTGGAGGGGAGAGAGCAAGAGGACCAAAGTGCAGATCCCTGGGACGGTGGCTGCCCAGTTCAGGAAGCTGGACGGCTGAGGTGGGGGAGGGGAGGTGTGTCGTGCATCCTGTAAGCTGGCTTTGGAAGGAGTGGTGAGTGAGGCTTTTGAACTCTCTAACAAAGACCCAATTGTTATGCCTCCGACCTTGGGACATGGTGGGCGTGTTAAGGCATTTCCACTCCAATTGTTGAGGCAGTAGCCCCAGTTAGCACCATCCCCACCCTGCAGGGCCTTGCCTTGCCCACGGAGAGCAGGGACTCTGGCTGTGTCCCCTTCTGTCTTGGCTAGAAGTCCCTCGAGTAGAGTGTCCATGGAGGGGTCCACCAACCTCTGGCTCCGCCTGTTCCTCCACGCCCTCTGCCTGGGACCGGAGACACGGAGCGATTTGGAGGTGTGGTTTTGCCAGGGCTCTGTAATTTCATTGGTCTAAAGAGAGATGTGTCTGGAAGGCAGTTCAGAGTCAGTAAACAGTCAACACCAGAGCCATGTGAGATGTTAGCATTTTATTAGAATCAGGAAATGACCCCATGCGGTAGAAGGCTCTTCAAAAATTTTGTGGCTCAAGTAACAGACTGAGAGGTTGAGTCATTTTCTTAGAGTCCAACAGCTGAGATCTCTGCCCTCTACAGAGGGCGTGGGGGGAAGGTGAGAACGGGCTCATGCCAGGTAGGATCGCCACAAGCTGCTGACACTGCAGGTTGGGGAGAGACATGGGCTGGGTGAGATGACCACAGGTGTCCCTGGAACATCAGAAGGATGACTCTCTGTCCCACCTTCCAACATGGTGGTCGTAGGTTGTGGGAATTCAGGTTGTTAATTGTTCCTCTGAACTTGGGGCCAAGCAACAGCTGAGAGGATCTGATGTGTACCCCTCACCGAGGACAAGCCTGTTCCTGGGAATGTAGGTGGACAGAAGTCAAGGACCCCCAAAGTGAGACCTGAGCGGCTTCAGGGAAACCCTTTTTGATCAAGCAGTGGGCCTGGGGCCGAGCCAGAAAGCACTCTTTTTTTCTCCATTAATGAACAGGGACAGATCCAGCAGAAAGATTCAACAGGTTCGCTTGCTTTGACAAGTCACTGTTATCTCGTCCTTGGGAACCCCTCCACCCTTCCCATAGACAGCAGTACCTGAGACACCTGCTTTGTGGGAAATTCTTATGCCTCAAAGACCACAATGGCTTCGCCTTCAAGCAGGTATAATCTGGTCTGACTTCTGGCAGCGTGGTGATGGCAGGATCCCAGTTGCTCTGGTCTGTGTTGAGCAAAGCTTGTCTCTAGCTTTCCAGCATTGCTTCCTTCTTCTTAGGACTAGGGGCCCGGGGAGGACGTGGGGCTATGAGTCACCAGATGCTCATTCTTTTCCTGCCTCTGCTTTCCTTCTCTGAGTCTTCGTTTCTTTTCTGGCCCCAGCATGGTAACACTGGGAGTTCTTACACTTCCTTGGAGGCATGTAGCTATAGGACTAAGATCAAAGTGTTGTGCTGGCAAGGAATTTTGAGCTCCACTGGTCCATGCAGGTGAGAAACTGTCCAGGTGAGAACACTCAGCCTTGGGGAGTTTGCACATCTCAGTCCCGTCCAAAAATCACTGCTTTAGTCCCAACTGAGTAGTGAGCAGAGGACAGAAGTCCATTCAGACTTGCTCAAGGGACACCTGAAAGGCTGCAGAAAAATCTCACCGAACCTGAGGATGTGAAGTACATCCCAGCTTCACGGGCACCGGGGGAACCAGAGAGTTGGCCCGAGCCAGATCAAGGCACCCTGGTCTCTGTCTCGCTCTTGGGTATACCCAAGATGTAGAGCCCCCCGGGATCTTCTCCCTGCAGAGCAGCCTGACTTCTCCTCCTGTCCCCTTAAAACAGTTGCCTATTCACCTGCTGTTGGTCTGTGGCTTCTGGTTCTCTGAGTTCAAAATTTGAAGTCCGAATCTGAATCTGATTGGCCAGCCAGTGACTCGGCAGACCTTAGGTCGGATGTCCTGCCCCGGGCCACTCAGCTGCGTCCGGGAGAAGCCCCGCGGGCTAGAAACATAGCTACTTAGCCAAGCACCTCAGCAGTGGCTGTTGGAAAGCAGGTTTTTTTGTTTTTTTTTTTAAGATTTATTTATTTATTTTGAGAGAGTGAGAATGAGAGAGAGAGAGCACATGAGAGGGGGGAGGGCCAGAGGGAGAAGCAGGTTCCCCGCCGAGGAGGGAGCCCGATGCGGGACTCGATCCCAGGACTCCAGGATCATGACCTGAGCCGAAGGCAGTCGCTTAACCAACTGAGCCACCCAGGCGCCCGGAAAGCAGGTTTTAAAGAAAGGAGATATAGAGGGGTAACAAAAACATGTTGGGCTGCAAACTGTGTTACTTGTTTAGCAGCTATGTGTGTAGTGGAGAAGCAAAGAACCTGGAATCTGAGCACTAGGTTTAAGATCTAATGTTACCCTGACTTTGTGATGTATGTAGGAATCCCTCGGTTTCCTCACCAGTGTAAGGGGGCAGTGATGCACACTGCATGGGCTTTTCTGGAGGAGGCATCAAATGTAACCATTTATTGTTTGACAGAGAAGAC